ATCCGATATAAAGTGGGGTAATGCCAATCGCATCTCGAGCTGCAATGAAACTTTTGTCACGAGTGTCAAGAAGGACAAACGAGAACATGCCATCCAGCATGTCCACAAAATCTTCTCCATATTCTTCATACTGGCAAAGGTAAGTAGCCAAATTAGTACAGAGGATACAATTAAGTAAAAAGACCCCACAAAACACGAAAAACACACAGGAAAAGAAAATGATCTAAAAAACTGAATTTAATGTCCAACCTCTCAAGTACTTACAAGGTGAGCAATCACTTCACAGTCACTTCCAGTTCTGAACTGATGGGATTTCAGCTTTTCTCTCAATTGTCTATGGTTATATATCTCTCCATTAACCTATAATCATCAACCAAACATGAAATGAAAATCGAACATTGCATTCTAATTGAGAGTGGCACCACAAAGTTATAGTAAAATTAAGAAAATAAATCTCGATAATATTTTTTTTATTATTATTGACCATGGCAAGATGAAGAAAGTGGAAATCATCGTATTTCCAATAGGTTTCGGCTTTTGCTTTTTATCTTTTGCTTCCATAACCAAAAAGGAAAATGCATGTTCGGTTGAAAAAAGAAAATAATATTTTTTAAAAATTAAGAACAAAAAAAAAGCATAATTTTGCTTTCACATATAACTATTGTGTTTGAATCGATTTTATATTTTAAGCATTTGTTCGTTATTATTATGTACAATTTTTGTTTTTTATTCCCCTTACCAGCTTTTGAGAAAATAAAAGGCAAATATAAAGAGCAAGTATGAAAAATCTTAGGCTCCATTTAGTTCTGGCTTTTGCTACTTGCTTTTTGGTTTTTGCATTTTTGTTTCCAAAAAAATATATGTTATAAGTTTATAAAGCAAAAATAAATGTTAGAATATAAAATCATAATTAATTAAAAATAAACAATACATAAAAATGCAACACCAAATTCTAACATAACTGTAAATTATACATTTTGTTTCCCAAAAGAAATATATAATTTTAATTTCTAATTATTGAAAAACATTATTTACTTTTATATCCAAATAAACATTTTAAGTTAAATAAACAAGTAGCAGAAGCAAAGCAAGCGAAACAGTACGTTAACAAAATGGATTTTTTTTTTTTGAAAGGTCTTAACAAATGGAAATTAATACACATGAAGCACACACTTCCATGTAATTTAATAAAAAAAATTACTTTCATAATTATAAATAACCATCACAAATGTCACAAGTACCAGACACAATTACATTTCCCTAATTACTTCGAACATTTATCAAATAAACTAAATATATTTGAAAAAAAGAAAAAGAAAATATACCGTGACAATAACAGTCTTGTCCTCGTTATAGAGGGGCTGATCCCCTGAAGTCGGATCTACGATAGCTAAACGCTGATGAGCAAGGTAACAATCTTGATGGCAATGTATTCCACTCCAATCAGGACCTCTATGCCTCAATCTACACTCTCCATTTCAATAAAAATCAAACTCATTTCCATTGATAAAATGTTCTTTAAAAGAAAACAAAAAACAAAAGTTTGAAATGCTAAAAACTAATTCAAAATCACCTTCGAGATAGTTCGATGATACGGGAACGTTTAGCTTGAGAGTTATCAACGCAGCCAAAGACTGCAAGTATTCCACACATGGCTGACCTCTGTTGCTGGGTTTCGAATGAAGGATGGAGGCTGCTGAGAAGGAATCAGTAGGAATGAGAGTGGATTTTGTGATTTAAATAATAAGCGTCCTTCAATCAAGGCCGTTGATTTTGACTAGCTTTTGGCCAAGATTCCCCCTTGGTTTCTGCCAGCTACCAAATCTACAGACTGTTACTGAAATTCTTTATTAGGGTTTTGGAATTTTCAGAATTTTGACCCTCGAAAGAGATTCTTAAAGGTAGGGTCATTGGTTTGGGGATCTTGGATCTTTTACCGTACAAATTTTCAGTTGTTTTCGTGAAGTCGTTTCTAGTGGGTGCACCTCAGACCCTCATCGTTCGATTCTTCATCAAATGGGTCTCTTGTGAGTTGAGATGTCTGCGATCATAGCCGGGAATTAGTTCATTGTTTTAAATCTTGCTAAAGGTGTCAGCACTTTGCGAGATTCAAATGGAATCTTTCTTCTAATTATAATTATATATACATATATACTAGCAACAGTAACAATAGTCCCATCCTCATTATTTTATTAAACATCTTACGTAAAATACTCTAAACTCGCTAAGCATAATTGTTAAATTGCTCTAAAAAGAAAAGATATACTCCTAGTCGTTAAAATTATTCTTGAGGGCAACTGTTTTGGGTTCTTGCAACTTTTATCAGTTATTCATGACAAATATGTAAAATTATTCACTTCAAACACATTTATTAATTACTTTATTGTTTTCAGTTTCAAAATAAATTATATTATTATTTTCTCATTTTTACTTGTTTTAAAAAACTTTATAGTTTATACAAGTTAATTAGTCCAAAATAAGAAATTGCAGTACGAGGAATACTGAATATTAATTATATACATTGTTTAAAATAAATAAATATTTAAATTACTTTTCCACAAAAAAGATTCAAAACAAATATATTGTACATTACTTCAATCCAAAGCCTAAGTGAATGAAATGAATTTTTAGATTCTTCATTTATATGCCACTTTTATGTCCCGTTTTAAAGGTTGCACACTTGGATGCGAAGCTCAACAATTGTCTGTCGTTTAATCGTGAGTTGTGATCAACTTCCGCATGCTGGCAATAGTTGTTAATGCCCATGGCCCTTTTGCCTTTAAGCCAACTCTTAACCACAAAGCGTCGTTTTGTGTACAAGTTGTCCGTAACGCATGACCTTTTTGCATTAATTCTTAGTTACCCACCACACCTTTGTTTCGAGAGTTGAACCTTTCACTGTTGATAACATTTTGTCGGAGGGTTAAGCCCAACTTTCAGCTCATGGGAGCTGATTGAATCCAAAACTTTGTTCCGATGATAAGATTAGAATCCAAACACTTTTTAAATTGAATTGAAATCTAGAACGTGTAATTAATCATAATTTCGAAATAGTAGAATGTCTCTTTAACTTTGTTATGACTTAACAAAGAAATAATATCTTTTAGGTAATGTTTGATATTTTATTGAAATTTAATTATTGAGTATATGATTATTAAAAATATAATTTTATGGTATTTGATATAATATAAAAAAATAATGATTATAAGAAATGTAATAGTTGAAAATATTACGTTGTAGTGTTTGATTTGAAAATAATTTATTGAAAATATAATATTAATTTATAAATTATCTTTATATATAAAAATATAAAATTAAATAAACTCATTCTTTTTATGAATAAATATTTAATTTTTAAAACTTTATCACTTAAAATAAATTATAACAATATAAAAATAACATAATATTAATGATTAATTATTTAAATATTAAAAAATCTAAAATTATTATATATTTATTTTTATAATAATATCTATGAATATTAATGTCCTTTGGATGGTAGAATAAAATTGAAATGTATTCTTCCAACAAAGTTAATCTTTGGTAAAATAAATCCTCAAGACACAAATTATTTGAAGATTTGAAATTGCTAATTTTTACTTGCATTTTACATATAAGCGGAGAAGCAAGCATTTAGCCATTTGTATTTTCATTTCTCCCAAATTCTTCCTTTTAAAAAAAATCAAAATTTCATTAATTATTAAAAAAGAACAACCAACAAGAGAAGGACCGAACCTCCAAACCAACTGAACAAATATGCAGAAGAACCAAGAAGTCCTGCAGGATCTCGAACATCCCCGCCCCATCCAACAGCAAAATAAGCACAACCTTATCCTAATAATTAAAGAGTATCTAGATATTAAATAAATAAAAAACTATCCATAAGAACTTATCAATCAGAGTAGAGATAAGAAAAAAAAAACAAAACTCCTTTCTAAATTTTCATATTAATTATAAGCGTCTCTCACTATATACAGTATTTTCTTTAACTCAAATGAAAGATTATTGATTTCTTTTGGATTCAAAGTTTGATTAAATCTACAAAAATGCTAAGTCAAAGTAAGTAGCAAAATTGATCTCTCAAACGATTTTCCCTCTCATTCCTTCATAAATTTAAATTTTTATTTTGATAAGTTGAGGTTAATTAAGACCCTTAAAAGAGATAAGAACAAATTGCATCAATGACAATAAAATAAGAAGTATATAAAGTAGTGATTTAAAAGTGAAATTAAATAGAAATATGTAAACGGAAAGTTAATTTCCTTTCACGAGGGATTGCTATGATATCACAATAGAATTATGTTACTATTCATTTTATACAAAACACTAATCAAACATTATAAAATGATTACACCGAATTAAATTACAAAAAATGTCCCTTATTTGCACTGTCCCAAACGTGCCCTTAGTTGTACGTAAACTTTCGGAATCTTTCGAGTTTAAAATATTGTCATGTTAAAATTGGAAGAAAGATAAAACAAAATTACTAATAATACAATCTTTAGCCCACCTTACCTTGCCTTATGCTTACCAATCCCTGATGTGTCGGCGGCCCGCCTTTTCCTTCAGCGGATCTCAAGTTTGACCCGTCTTTTGACAAGGTAACAGTAATTAAAACGAAAGAATTGTGCCGTACAGGCGTGCGTTCCGAAGGGCCCATTAGATCATTTCGACTAATATAAGCCGAGATACACATGTTGGGCTACTGCTACAATGTTCTGAATGCGCCAGCCGTCAATCAAGGAAGCTTTTTAAGTTTTAAGTTAGACGATGAATGAATCTGATCTAGTTTTATAACAAATTTTGTCTAATTATAAATATTAATTTTATTTATTTGATAATTTACTGATTTCTTTCAAATGGAGTTAACGTTTTACTTGTCAAGATTTGATTTGAGTTATTATACCTAATTAAAACTCATTCCAAAATCGATCGAGTAAAACCTGTAATAATGCACGTACTTTTCATATACTTTTTGGGACTGTCTTTGAGTTTTGACATCTGAGCGGGTTTAAACCGAAGAAAATAAAACGACGCCGTTTCAGGTTATTCTGTCTTACTTGCGAAAACCGTTATTGCTAGACTAACCGGGATTTCTTGTCACAGGGAATTATTCTCCGATCCCAGTTTTAGTCCATCTCCCATTGCATCAGCCAGCATAACAACCAGACGAGCAAGGCGAAGAACGACGTTGAGACGGTAAAGGAAAAATCCTGCGAAAGTTTCTTGGTTAAGGTCGCCAATTATGGCTGCGATAAAGCCCAAAGCTTCGACTCCAAACCCAGGGACAATGAGTCCACGCGTTTGGCTTTACTCCATTTTGCTGACTTTTCAATATGGAGCGCAGCCTCTTATCTCCAAACGCTGCACCAGGTAACAATATTTTCCTCCAAATTTTAATTTACTTAAATTCTGTTTACTCAAATTCTGCCTTTTGATTTGGCTCGTAATTAATCAAATGTTGGATTTAATTTAATTTACTTTTTGATTGATCATTTCGAAATCTGGTTTTCGGTTATGGTGGAGATTGGAAAAATTAGCAACTGATTAAAGGAACTAAAATTTTGTTGTATTTTACGAGGATTAGTTTATCATGAGCTTTTGGCAAAGTTTTAATGAAATTTTTATGATTTTGCCTAGTTTTTATTTTTTCTTCTTAAGATTGACAGCATAAGTAGAGAGACCTTTGAATTTGTCCCGAAGACAGCTTATTTTTGGACCTGATAAAACTTTGAGATTTTTCATTTGCATTTTTACTGTTGTGTTTCTATCTTGAACTTGAAGCATCATCTTGGCTTGCTGCTGCTTTTATACAATTAGTACTTAAGTATCTTCATTGGCATCAATTGCTCAGATATTTTCTTGGTTCTTTCCTTCCATATCTTAATGCAATATTTTAAAGTTTGAAATGCTAGGATGTACATTCAGTTTAATAATGATTGTACACTCGAACACATGTATATGGATTGATACACCACTGGTAACAGCTATAAATGTCTTCCCCTCACTCTGATACTTTGCGTATGTTTGAACAATTTTTCCTTCCAAGTTTTTAACTCATGATAATCTTTTTTCTACAGACGAGAAGTAATTGTAACTTCATCAGTCTTGACATGTGAGATAGCTAAGGTAATTTTGCGTATGCTTTATTTTACTTTATGTCTGGTTCTGTTCACATTTAAGCATATCAATTTCTAAGATCATTTACTTTTGAATATGCTTACTAGGTTATATGTGCTCTGATTCTCATGGCAAAAGATGGTACTTTAAAGAAAATGGTGAAAGAATGGACTTTGGTGGGCTCACTGACTGCATCAGGTCTTCCCGCCGCAATTTATGCCCTTCAAAACAGTTTGTTGCAGATATCTTACAGGAATCTCGATTCACTTACATTCTCAATGCTGAACCAGACAAAAATATTTTTCACTGCCTTGTTTACGTATATCATACTGAGGTATCTTTCTCAACAGCTCCTTTGTCTATCATCTATCTCCTTTGAGGGTTGTCCTGTGAAAGGAACTGCCTAGATGCTATTATCTCCTTTCAGTTAGAGAATTTAGTACAGATCAACTGGTTCCTATGGGTGCTAGAACTATGTTCTTGTTTATATATTTTACTCATTGTTCTGTGCTGCTCTGAACTTATAGCTACTGATTTGCTGGACTGCTTTTGAGTTTTGCAAATGACTTAGTTACTGGTTATTATATATTTTGCGTGAATTTGATAGTTCTTTAATTGTTTTTCTTTGAAATATGGTATCATTTTCATGATAAGGCATTTATTGACATGGATGAAATAGTAATGATATTGTCAGGATCCTTGTGAGCTCATTTGGCTTGATTGTGATGCTTCTATGCAGGCAAAAGCAGTCAATTCAACAAATTGGGGCTCTTTTCTTGTTGATTATGGCAGCTGTTCTTCTAAGCATTGGTGAAGGCTCTAGCAAAGGTTCAAGTAGTGGTGACCCTGACCAAATTCTATTTTATGGAATTGTCCCAGTCTTGGTTGCATCTGTGCTCTCTGGTCTAGCTTCTGCATTGTGTCAATGGGCTTCTCAGGTGAGAAATGGCTTGGTCTTCGGTTTTGAAGATACAAATTAGTACAAAGGCTTAGTTTTCTCTCTGTTCCTTAATATGTTGTTTATTACAGGTTAAGAAGCACTCCTCATACTTGATGACTGTAGAAATGTCTATTGTTGGAAGCTTATGCTTACTGGCTAGTACCTCTAAGTCTCCAGATGGAGAGGCTATCAGACGCCATGGATTCTTTTATGGTTGGACTCTACTAACTTTGGTAATAGTCCTATTTTATTTGGAAAATTTTCTCTAGAGAGAAATGGGGATGCTCTTGGGTTTAGCACAAGCAGGGAAAGGATAGGATAAGACTGGGTAGAGAATTTTGTGAGTTAATTTACTAAGATCTATATCATGGATGCCTGTAAGTTTATTTTGGCAATCTTTTTATGTTTTAACTGCTATGATACATACATCAAAAAGTTTAAATACAATTGTCTTCCTTTTTTATTTTTATTTTTTTCAGATTCCAGTTGTAGCTAATGCTCTTGGTGGGATTCTTGTTGGCCTTGTCACCAGCCTTGCTGGTGGTGTGAGAAAGGTAAGCATAACTACATAAAAGTAAGTGGTGACTAAGTAGGATGGAGTATTGAAGGGTAGAGTGACGATAGATGGCTGCAGGTCGACATAGGGGCCATCGAATTGCATATGTTGTAAATCATCACGTGAAAAAGGTCTCAAACTTAAAGCCATCGATGTCACTTCTTAGTTAGTAATTTTCCTAGTCCATGAATTGACTTCAAAGAGGGGTGGAGGTAAAGGGAGGCCAAGTGTCCCGGATCTCTGCTGGAATGCAGATTTCAGAATACCCTTTTTAGGGTGTTATTAAAGCTGAAGGACCAATCACTCTTCCTTTTATGCCATAAATATTTTATTGCTTGAATTTATCTCCATACCACATCACTGTCTCAATGATACTTATGGTAGCAAAATTTTCTCAAATGCGTGCAGGGGTTTGTCATTGTTTCTGCACTTCTTGCAACAGCCATGCTGCAGTTCCTTTTTGAAGGAAAGCCGCCATCAGTGTATTGTCTCGTGGCTCTTCCACTCGTCATCAGTAGCATTTCAATATACCAGAAATATCCATACAGAGTGAAAAAGAAGGAAGCCTAGTAACCTGCAGCAAATAAGGGGGTTTCTGAGAGTGGCCTCGATTATTACAGTTTCCATTTGTTTTCCCAAGTTTTAGGGGAAGGGTAAAAGGAATCATTTAGGATGTAAGTGTACCTACTTAGTGTAGGCAAATGAAGAAGGCATATTGTACTTGCGTTCATCAATTTCAGGACATGTTGAATTGGGTATTGATTCTGACTGAAATTGGGAAGAAAAAGAACATGGATTTGATTTAGTCTGACCTTTTCGGGCAGTGCACAATTGTATGAAATGAATCATGCATGTGAAGAGTACTCCCGTGTAGACAGTGGCTTCATTGAGCAAAGCAATAAAGAAAGAATACCAGAATCAGTATTCAATTCCTCTGTGTACATTAGATGTTTTCAGAGGAGTTCTATGCCCCCCCAAAAAAGAAGTCAGAGCGCGGCCATAGCAATGGTCATTTTTATTTCATTATACAGGTGGTCAAGGCATTAAATGAAAAATTAAATATTATTATATTTTTATTTGAGCATTTGACTTGATAATTGGTGCATAATCTCTGCTTTTGCGGAGGCATCTGGCTTCAGGACGGGTTTTTCACTTTCTGTTTGTAGGAAGACGAAGTTATTTTCAGGGCCCATTAGTACTACATGGATTTCTAGCCCAGCCCAAGAGAAAGCGGTAAGAGCAAGCACCCAACAAGCCGTTTTCGTCTGCAAAAGCCTCACAATTCACAAAACCCTCTTCCGGTACCATTTTCGATACTTGAGCTCCACCCAGAAAGCCAAGGAAATTAGAAAATGGCAAGTAGATTAGGAAGACGAGTTGTTCACTTCGCCAACCTTCCAATCAAGCTACTAATGCCAAACACCTTCACCAACATTCAAGAAATAGCGCTCAAAACCATCCCATCGGCGTCCAAGATCGAGATCAAACGCGTCCTCGAATCCCTCTACGGTTTCGACGTCGAAAAAGTCCGTACTCTCAACATGGAAGGCAAGAAGAAGAAACGCGGTGGTTTCTTAATCGCCAAACCCGATTACAAAAAAGCTTACGTCACTTTAAGAACCCCTCTTTCGATATCCGAGAACCTTTTCCCTATTAAGATTATTGAAGAGGAAAAAGAGAGTATTAATAAGAATAGTAAGAGTAAGAACGTTGTGGAAGAAGGGGAAAAGAAGAGACATTGGCTTGATGGGAAGATGAAGAATGGTGGAGCTGAGAAGCGGAAGGTTTCTTACGCCTCGGGTCGTGGCGGCAGCGGCGGCGGTGGAGAGGTGAAGTTTCCTTGGAGTAGCATGACGAGGGCTAGTTAGGTAGGTAGGATTTTTGGGTTTTTCCTTTTCCTTTTCCTTTTTTTAAATAAGGGGTTGAATGGGAAAATTGGACTATCATGAAGAAAGGGTTTTTTTTTTTTTAATGTTTTTTACATTATTGATGAGAAGTTATTAATGATGCATATTACTCAAGTATTATGAAATGGGGTTTTAGTTTTGTTGCTTCAATTTTTTAATTTAGTTTTTGTTTGATTAATAGAGCATAAGTAGTCGGTGGTTGTTGTGGTTATCGTGCAAGGCTGACTATTAAGCAACTTGTTTAACCAAAATGGAATTGATAAGCTTGCTTTCGGATTTAGCATATATGTTGATCAAACAACTTCTACGAATCCTCCCTGCCTACTTGAAAAATCCGAATGCCTGCTTGTTTTCTGTTTCATTGGACACACATTTCTAGCTGCTCACTGAGAAATCTTGAGTTGTTGTCTACCTCATGGATTGGTGTAATAAAGTATTAGTAAGAAAGACTATGTTTAAAATTGAAATTTACATGGCTGAAATGACAGATCCTTTTCCATTATGAACATGTGCTATGGTCTGATAACAGCAGAACCTTTGAGACTTACATGATAGAGATCACAACTCGCTTTCCTTTATGAACAATTTTTATGGTCTAATAACAGACTGTTGAGATTTACATGACTGGGATTACAGTTCCCTTTCCATTATGAACATGTTCATTGCATCTTTCCTTTATAAGAGAGAGATGCAGGGATGTTCTATATGGCAAGATATGGTATTAATTTAACATTCAATCTAAACCTTGCGGAATAAACTAGTCAAAATGGAAAGATAATGCACATAATGCTGTTGAGGCTGTTGGCTGGGTTGAGTATTGAGATTACAAGATTCTTACTGCTGACAAATTTATGATGCTGATTGCCTACGTCTAAAGCTGATTCTGAAGCCCGCTGGATTTGATCTCTGCTGGCCATCTCCATTGTCATCATTTTCTGCCTTCACGTGGAAAGAGTTCTTAATCTTCCTCCAATTCAAACTCCAACCTGATGCATTCTTGTGCTTGTTGCATATCTTTTCATACTCTTGTTGCAGGTCAGAGTAGTCGTTTTGTAGTTCTGTCATCTTTGTCTTTACATTCTCAAGTTCTGATTTGAGGTTCTTTATCTCTGTGTTTGTGGATTGTCGGTGTTCCTCTTGTTCAGAATTATCTTCTCGTGCTAATGTTTCCTTTCCTTGCATTGCCATCCTCATCTTTGCTTGCTCCGAAAATAAAACCTGCATATGAAGTTGATGGATCATACACTATTTAGCCCTCAGAAGCTGGGTTTAGTGCCTGGTGACTTTGTCTACTATCAGAGTGTCAATAGTTTTCTTGATGTTCCTTCTCTTCATTCTGATGGCATTTTATTCACTATTATGTTATCAGGGGCCTGTAATCTAGATGAGTTCTTATTTGTTGTCTGAACACTCTACAGTGAAATCTATACGCTGCTTTTTTGGAAGCACTAGATGGTTTAATTCTTGGGAAACATCCAAACGTTACCTTTTGGTGTCCATAATTGTTCTATTGACCTTGTGATTGCCTTCTTCTCTAGTGATTGACACACACACGCAAATTTAATTTTATATAAATTAGATTATTATGGTTTTAATTGTTCTGTGGTTGATTTATCTCTTACTTTTGTACTCTTATAGTTGATTTGAGCTTTTCCTGCTATGAACGTGAACTTATATCAGGTGCCTTCTGTTTTTTTTTTTCACTAAATGATATGCTTATCAACAGAAAAATCATTGGTATGCATGTGTGCCTAATGCGGACAACCTCCCTGTATAATATACTTTTCCTCTGAATGCCTGAAATATGATTTATCACTGTAGTCATAACTGGTTTGTAAGATGAAGATCTCCTAGTTAGTGCTATGAGAACCATAAAATGCTTTCATGGTTTTAGTTGTGGATTTGCTATGTACGCAAGGCTTTAAGGAACATTTTCACAGGTCTGTCAGGTATATTTAGATTGCAAGCTGTTGTGATTCCTGGTCCAAAAATTCTAATCTAACTTCAGGATAGGTCTGTGCAGTTGCAGTATTACCTTGTACATTTGGTTTACTTTAGAACCATGAAATGGGAGTTTTGTACAGAAGACTTTTTAAGAGTTGACTCTTGATAGCTGATACGGTACAAATTCTTCATAACTCACAGAAGACACTGATGCAGTGAAAAATTTGAATATAGAGTTCTGACATAAGTTACCTGGACAATAGTTCGTAGGGGCAACCGATCATTTTGTGCAGCATGCATGCATGCATCAAATGATAGTTTTTCACTGTTCATTAGTTTGCACAACCTTCTCCGGTCATGCTCAGATAGTGAGGGATGAGTCTGAAAATGATATAAAGAATTAAATATTAAGATCTAAATCAGCAAATGATCTAAATAGCATAAGAGACTTGACAAGTAACCTTGAGATAGATATCAATGGCTCTGTAGAGGCCATCATCACAAGATCGAGCATTTTCTGGCAAGGATTCGGCAAGAACTTGAAATTTTGTGATGGAAAGATAGGGATCCCTGGCTATTTCTGCTAAGTAATTGTCCAATAGCTTACTAACATTTGTTTTCCCTATTTTTGGCTGCTGTTGCTGCTGCTGTTGTTCATGCATCAAAAAATAGTCCAAAATCCTTTGCACCACCTCTATGTTGTGCATTGTTCGCTGCTCGGGTGAACTGTTGAGGAAGGTATATGAACAGGAATATAAATAAGTCTAATTGCATGGTTATAAAGGACTACTCTTCTGGAGGTGTTCTTTTTGGATTGGCATGCTAAATTAGACAATCTGCTAATGAGGTTAAATAGTAATACTCACTTTACCATTATTCCCTGATCTTCATTTTTATAATTAGGGATCAGTAGATCATTTACGCTGGCATCTTCCAGCATCATTCCAACTCTCTTTTCAAGATCTGATATCAGAGCAGGTGATGCAGAATACACCATGGCTGTTTTCAACATCTGCAACAAGAACTTACATGAAACAGCTCCATGTTGAGAAGGAAGTATGCTTACTAGGCTTTCAATAATTGTTTTTTGCTCCTTGTTTTGTCCTGCACCCTCTTCTTCCTTTCTTCTCAAAATACTGAACTGCACCTCGCTCTTCCCAAATCCATATCCTCTCAGTCCTTCCAATTCCTCATCCATGTCTGGAAGCCAGTTGTCTGCATAATTCATTATGCATTTACCTATGATCTCTGCTTTTGTTCCTTTTGCTCTAATTGCTGTCATAATCCTCATGAAATGATCAATGCGAAGGGTAGCCACATCACTGAACCACCAGGTTTCTTCACTAACTATATCTCCAGTTGATGAGTTCTCTCTTGAAGCCTTATAAGCTATCGAGTCACAGCATCTTCTGACAATCTGGAGGTTTTCTGCCCATGGGGATAGGGTTTCACAAGATTTGAGAACAGTAATAGTGTCTTTCCAGGATGCCAGGACTACAAATGTGAGAAAAGCTTCTGTCTTGGCTATGAGATTTCCATCTTCAAATTCTTCTGTCATCTCTAGATATTCTGATGCACATCTTAGTGCAGCTATGTTATTGGGGTTTAAGTCTACTGGGAGACCATAACAAAATTTTAGAATGACCTCAAATGTTTCTGATCCACCTGGAAAATTTTCAAGCTTGAGATCATACCCAAAGTTCGAGATTGAAGGCTGAATTTCCAGCCGCCCTATGTAGCCACTTTTTGATACCAAGGGATACTGTTTCAGGAGAAAGAGATTAGAGAGCTAGTAGTTTGATACCAAGGTTGGCTCTGCACTCTTTTATATGTTAATAATTTCAAGTTGTTAAGATTATTGTGTTTATTGGACACGAGTAAATTGAAAGAGTAACTGGTTTCCTTTATCTTCTAACTGGGCCAGAAAATAATCAGATTTTTCTTCTCTAGGAAAAATTTTGGAATCTCAGAACTCTGATAATGATGAATTAGTGGTAAAACAGGGTCACAAATGCTTTATTTATTTATTACCTATAGTACACATCACTTCATGAGGGGTTTGGAACTTTGTAAAGCTCCCTTACTTTGTGTTTTCCTCTATTTATGTTCTTATTGAACATTTATTCCATACTTCTCTACTTTAGTTTAGCAATAGAAGGCTTCAGAAAAAAAAAAAGGAAAATAAGAAATGAAAGGGGTCCCGATAGTTATGCAGATTTTTGTTTTGCTCATCATAGTTATGCAGGTTATATCGGATGTTGTGCAAAATCTTATTTATCTTTACGATTTACCTTGTGAACATTAAAGATTGCTTCTTGAACTTGGATCACGAAATCTGTGGGGATTTGAGATGTGGCAAACCTGCATAAAATTACCCAACAAAAGAAAAGGAAGCATGAGCTGCAGCAATTTACTTTGAAACAAATGGTAATGAAGGAGAAGCAAGCAGCTTCGGCATCTCAACATGTTATCCTTTTTCAAATCAGTTATTATGTTGCCAATTCTAGTTTAAACTCGAGAGTTTGAATCGCAAGGAATGCATGTTTTACCATGAAAGTCGCTTCCTTTTGAAGCTATCAGCTACAGAGATGAGTTTGTTTGGAACTATGATGCTTTGATCGTAAGCTTGATGATCACTGCCACCGGCATCACTCCCACCAGGACTTCGTGGCTGAGCCATTTGAAGAGACTTCATCATGGTGATGCTCTTCCTGCAGACATGGTATTGAGTTTCTTACAGTTTATATCGGTGAAGAGTTTTATGAAATAAAAGCAGGGTGCAGTTCGAATAAATGTGAGGAGAAAGTCTGTGGCTGGAAGAGACAGATGGTCAAGTTGGTTGGTGCGAGTGGGGTATTTTTAATTACAGAAACTGTTGAAGGAAATCGAAGGAGATCAATCAAGGTTGATGTTATAAGGGAGGGAATGTTGGCTATGATTTGTCAATTTCTCAACCACGTATGCCTGCATTATTCCATGATGATTGTGTGGCTCACTGAAGGCGGACAGACCATTTCACACATTTATTAATACTAGTGTAAGTTCATGTCTTTTATCAGGAAACTTGACGTCTGAGACCGTGGGTCGATAATGATGTAATTCATAAGGGTGTGTGAAAATAGGATCACTTCATTTCTAACAGTATTCCCCGGGGTTTTATAGTTTTGGGCTCGGTAGGCAGAGTTGATAGACCCTTTCTGCCTTTCGGAGAAGCAACGTGACAGCAGTTAGAATCCCGGCCTGCTGTCATGAACTTTTTGTATGCATTTGGCGACAGCCTCGTTTCATGTAATCAGTAACATCAATTTTGGTTGAATCCTGGCTTTATAGCTTTGCTCAGATTCATTCATATATCTAAGAAAAGTGGGATGCCTGCCTATACCATAATCCTGACTTTTGATTGTTCTCTTTGCCAGCTTGTTATTTTTAATAATTCCCTTCGATTGAGTAACATGTTGTGAGTTGTTCCACTTTGCCATGCCATGCAATGCAATGCAATGAAGCTATTTGTTACAAAAGGGGTAAGACTAATTGGTAGCACCATCCTTTCTTCTTCGGGATTTCCTCACGATAAAAAGGTTTCCTTTCTTGAGGGGAAAACGTGGTTGGAAGAGATTGACCAAGCTGGTAATTTGTTGGTTTTTATGCATCTTTAATATAATCATAAAAAAAAAAATTGGAAGGAAACAAGGTTAAATTCCTTCCCTGTTGCCTGAAATGTGTGAATTGCTGCGTGAAGTCCGTTAGAAGGTTCGTTTCCTTAGCTAGAATGTAGAAAGCTAAGCAATTTCGACTTTTATTATTTAATCTGTATTTTCATAAAACTGGGATCTATTTGCGGCTCAATGAATAAATTATTACTAGAAAGGGACAAATTGTCAAAAAATAAATCTCAAATAGGAAGAGGATTAATCTCGTAATTAAAATTTCCGGCCGTGCTCATTGAGCGTCGGTAATAGGACAGAAAGATGGGGGGTAAAATTGGAAAGGAAAAACCCGGTTCAAAGATTTTGACTAGGCCGTCCTCGTCATAGTTGGCGGTTTCTCCTGCTCCCTATATAAAAGGGATTGAACTCAAAGCCTTCATTCATTTTCTTCTTCTCCCTCATTTCCATTTCCATTTCCATTTCCATCTCCATCAAAATAATAATAGTAATAATAACTACAATTTCAGTTTTCTTTCGAGATTCAGATCTGAAACTTTCGCGTTTAGGAGCAAATTGAAAAATGGCGACGGTGTCTCCTCTGGCGAAATACAAGCTGGTATTCTTAGGCGATCAATCCGTTGGTAAAACCAGCATCATTACCCGCTTCATGTACGATAAATTCGACACGACTTACCAGGTAATCTCCCGTGATTCGACGTAATTTTTTCATTGATTCATGCAGATTCAATGAAGATTTGACCGTTTCTTAAACTCCTCTGTTTCATACATTGTTTTAATTTGATTTAGTTTTCCGTATTCTATTTGTTGACCGCGAAGTTTAATTACGGTTTTAATATCGTCTGTCCTTATGTTGTTGATCTCGAGCGAAGTGATCGTAGTTTAAAAATGCTTGATTTGTGACGTACAAGGAATTATTATCAATTTTGCGTGGTAGCTTAAACAGATCTTGATTTTTCTTTTTTGGTTTTTTTGGATTAGTTTAATTTTTTTCTTTATGATAAATATTTCTAATTAATTGAATTTGAAAATTTCTTCCATTAGATCCTAGAATACTTGAATTGAGGGGTGTTCATGTGCATATTTTCCTTGAATATTTTTAAGCTTTTGAAAGAAGACTTTGCTCGCGATTTATTGATGTAAACCAATTGCAGGCTACCATCGGGATTGATTTTTTGTCAAAAACAATGTATCTCGAAGATCGTACAGTTCGTTTGCAGCTTTGGTAATATAAGTTCTTCCTTTCCTCTCTCTCGCTTCAAAATTGTAGAATCTTGGAAATTTCTGTTGAACGCTTATTTTATTCAACTCTGGAGCCATTGCCATAAATTTTGGAATGAACATAAGCACGTTTCTACTGAACTTAAGGCATTTGTTTTGATTGCTTATTAGTTAGACTGCAAATTAGTTCCAAAATTAGGTTAATTTTTTCATAAGGCATTTTAATTTATCATCAGCGGTGAGGCTTTAAAGTGGTGGGTGATGGCCGGGACATATAGAAAAAAAAAAACCAGTTTTTCTTGTTGAATCCCCCGGTCTTTCCTCTACATCCAGTTAGAAGAGGCCACTACTTTGGAATTGGAAGCTAATTCACTTCTGTTCTGTTCTTTATCCACTTAAAGAATATTGTCCAAAGTCATCATGTAACAATGGTCTGTTTGGTAATTGAGTAAAGTATAACATGCCGATTAATCTAATTTTCTTGGTTTTTCAGTTTTTCATGATGCATATACTCTTCAATTCTCCAATCCTTGCTTCATTTAGTTTTATCTTATAATTTCACAGGGATACTGCTGGGCAGGAGAGATTCAGGAGTCTTATCCCAAGCTACATCAGAGATTCTTCTGTTGCAGTAATCGTCTATGATGTAGCTAGTGAGTATAAGCTAATTAACCCAAGTACTTTTTTTTTTCACTATTATTTTTCTTTTTTAGTTCATTAGATGAGAGACAATGATAAAAAAGCTTTTGTTAATTGACGTTATGATAATGTTGGTAAATTACTGTCCCTTGATAGCCATTATCACTATATGGTAATGTTGCCATTCATGTTTACCTTATTTATTTAAAATTCTCACTTGGCTATCTCCTTGCAGATAGGCAATCATTTTTGAACACTTCAAAGTGGATTGAGGAGGTACGCACAGAACGAGGCAGTGATGTCATTATTGTCCTTGTTGGGAACAAAACTGATCTGGTTGATAAAAGGTTAGTCACAAATTGAGAAATTAAAATTTTCAGATTGATTTTCCATATTGTTGGAATTCAATGAGGTTCTTGTCTCAGGTTTTAATCAAATTTAAAGGTGTAAATCTCATTGACAGAGTATCTTTTTAGCTTGCCAACTGACACTGAAGCCAGCAAAGTTGACTTGCATGTTTTTCTTTTCTCATATTGATATCTCTATACAGGGCTTATGCGCTATGCTTTCAGCTTTTGAAAAAAGAACGAACTTAAAAATTTTGTTTACCTCTTCTCAATATGATACTTAGGTCTACGATTGCAATTGAGGGGAATTTCATGTAACAGTCTGACCTAGATCATACAAGTAATTCTTGATGTTGTTTCCATTTATATTGTTTGGTGATTAAACAGGCAAGTTTCTATAGAGGAAGGAGATAACAAGGCTCGTGAATTTGGAGTCATGTTTATAGAAACCAGCGCAAAAGCAGGATTCAATATCAAGGTAAAAAAGGAAACACTATTTGATAGTCATAACAAAATATTACTTAGCGTTCCATATATTCTTTTTGTTAAAGAGTCAGTGCAGTTTGGGGATGAAATTTGTTTGCTTGTAATTTCTTTCTATAAGTTATTCTAGGGGTTTATCTTTTGTCGACGTTGATCTGCTTCTATAGCGTGCTTGCCACATCGTGTCTATGCAAATGCATTGGTATTCTTCACATTGTCCTTTGTTAACTTCCAGTTTTTTTGTGAATGTGAAATTGCAGCCTCTCTTCCGCAAGATTGCTGCTGCGTTACCTGGGATGGAAACTCTTTCTTCAACAAAACAGGAGGACATGGTGGACGTGAACTTGAAGCCTACTGTCAATTCATCCCAGAAGACAGAACAACAAGGAGGGGGTTGTGCATGTTAAGAGAAATGTATTTACTAAAAGCTTAAGAGAGAAAAAGTAGCATTCAAGCATTTTTTTTCAGCTATCAAATACACAAGTGAATTTAGCAAACACCCGTAAAATATTGTTCCGGAGCAAAATCTTTTTTGCTCTTCAGTTTACGATCCAATTTCTGGATATTTCAGGAAGGTGGCCTACGCTTCTGGTCCTACGGTAGGTTGTTTCACATCTCTTACTGTTATTTTCCTCGTAGTTTATGGAACTTCTTCCATGCGTCGTAGCAACTAGACTTCGATTGTGTTGAGTATTTTATTTGTCTCACAAAATTCCTTCTAGTATATAGCCATTCATTGTGTGACTTGAATTGGCAGCTTTAATGCTCATAAGGATTTTTTTTATGAGAATTTTCTACAGATTCCATTCTTTATATATATCATACTGAAAATAAAAGTACATTGTACTGCATTTATTTTTTGGGTGCATAAGGGAGCTGCAGAGGATAACAACGGCTAGGCAGCTTAAGTTGTTAAAGCATTGTACTGAAAGTAGGTTTACTTTATGGCAAAAAGAAAACAAAAAGGTTGCTGAATTGGTTTTGAAAAGGTTACAGAGAGGGACTAGCCTTAAAAAGTATCTGTGCCTAAGAAGATGTTTTGTTTTGGGTCAAATATTTGTTTAATTTCCAAACAACAACCCAAGGTCCTTTCAGAGTAATAGCCATCATCGAGTCATAAAGATAATAGGCCCTATCACAGCCATTTCTTATGTAGACCCATGCTAGGATACGCTCTTTGGAGTTATCCAAAAGCATATGTGTTACTATCAAACAAAAAATGCAAAATGAAGAAAATAGTTATTGTGGGTGAAGCAGATGGAAGGTACACTTTGGCACGATAGCCAAATTCCGTGTTACTATTATCAGTATAATTTTCAAGTTATTGTTCCACCCGCCACGACAGTATGCCAAAGGTACTGAAATCGTGCCTCTACCTAATGCCTTTAGAGCTTTGCGGTTTCACCCACTGATTTTTTCCTTTTGGCAGTTGGCACGGCTACTTTCCCCACCATGAAGCCACCTCGCTATCATGTAATTTACGTGCCCTGGATTGTAACAGAATTCACCCCGCCCTAAGAAAGTAGATTTGCTTTCCGCTACCCAGTCAAATATCCCAGTAATATTTATAAAATAAACCTCCAAAGGGTTGTTATAAAATAATATAATACTTCTTCCTAGTGTTGGAACAATGATAATGTACTTGTTCCTGTGCTCATCAATCTCTACATTCTCAGGCACAAGTTAAATCAACTTTTTCCATCTCCAACATCCTAGTAAATTCTCTGGGCAATGGTAAGAGATGCTGCATTGCTGAAACACTAGTAATATTTACAGAGGAAAATCATCCAAAAAAAAAAGAGAAAACTATTAACATTCAAAATCTAAACTTAAGCAGCTGTTCTGAAGGCATAATACATAATTCTCAAGAAATTTCAGAAAAACAAGTTCAAGCATAAACTAGAAGGTGATGAAAGTGGAGGTGCTAGACATGATTGAACCCATCACTATTTTGTCTAACTCTCAGCGTCAGATAAATCAATATCAATGTCCCTACACTTGACCTGAGCCAAACAAGAAACAATAAGTCAATGATTGAAAGAGAAGAAGAAAAAAAAAAAAGAAAAAGAATCAAAAGGGCATCTCTGAGAACTGTTCGTACTAGGAAAATTTATGATTGCTTTCAACTACCATATGCATTAGTACCAACAAGCCGACAAGAAATGTAGCAAATCTCATTTCAATGTAGAAATATTAGAATTTATAAGGTTACAAGAGGTGGCATGACATTTGAGCTTTATGTAATGGATGTGTGATGAATGGAGTTCAAAAGTGGTGGGTCTCACATTGGACAGCATAGAAGGTGAGAACATTTAATCAATTTCAGATGAATATCATAAATTTAGTTACTAGATGCATATTGTTTGGTAAAATCTTCATCAAGGTAAGTTGCGGCAAGGGTTGGCTATCTTATGACTTGAAGGAAAAAAAAGTTATAGCTAAAAATGAGGGTTCCTGGTGGTGGCTCTCATGATTTGGAGGCATGCAGAGTTCAAGTCTTTGACCAATGCACTAGATAATTGACTCCTCCATTATAAGGAATCTAATAGAGAGGTAAAGAAAAACAAGCAGTTATATTTGATATGGCATTAAGTTAATAATATGCTCAACTTGCAAAGTAGATCAATGGACAAACAACTCTACAATAAAGTTTCATCAGACTAACTAAAGATAATTCTCAAAATGCAGTTAAGCTTCAACTGAACTATCACATCCTTATTTTACTATCTTTCACGTCTTGCATCACTACTTTCCATTTTTGATCTCCCTAACATCCTAAACCTACTTGCTCCATGCAATAATTCCCCCTTAGCTATCAACTTGTCCACAAATTCTTCTCATTTTTGGATATCCTCACTGACTCCAAATAGTCAATAATTACACAATCTTTTCATTCCTCAATCACATTAGATTTGGAACATGTGTCAATATTACTTTCTTAAGAATTTTATAATGACTTTGGCCATCGTAAAAATTTAAGGTTGTAAACTTTTAATCAGACTTTGACTTCATAAACAAAATATATCTCCATCAAGTCAACATACAAGATAGAACCATAGTGTTGATGTCTGGGCTTAATACTAATGTGGTTTATTTTAAGATGCTAACAGTAATTCAAATCTATTCTCTTACTAAATGGAAGTATCAATTAGAAAATACTAGGCCTGCTGAAAAACTTGTAATTTAGAAACAAACAGGTTGTTTGCTAGGAATTCCAGAGCTTACAAGATTGAGAAAAGGAGGACTATTTTCCTTGAATCAAAGGATGCAGCCCGTTTATATCTTCTCCATCTGTTCGTTGGTGCATCATGAACCCTCTCAGTTGATGATTTGTCTGTTCAAGTAGAACTCAGTTTTAAATCGAAAACACATTCTACATGGCAATAAGTGAAGGGTACAGTATGGAATGAAGAATCAAATGTGCAATATGGATAACCTAAAAAGAACTAGACAGCTCGTAGATGTGAAACATCAGAGAAAAGGTAGCAGCCAATTCCAAGAACAATTACAAACAAATCCAATCAGATAGCTAAATCAAAGTTTAGGGATCAGGAAAAATACTTAAACAGAGTTCAATCTTTGAATTCTTCAGAGCCCAAAAATGAAGTTACTGTTTTCACATAGAATTCTCAAGTATCAATGACAGGCCCATTCAACTGTCTGTATTTTGTGCATTTGATATCAATTATCATGTCAATGGAATTACATATGTCGAATGAAGTTCTTTTGTCAACTTTACTCTTCTTTAGGCCAATGTTTAGGCCTGTAGGCAGTGGGCTGGAAGAAGATAACATGTTTGATCCTGAATTGCCTTTAACAGCTTGGAACTAGCAAATAAATTCTCTTATTTTAAATGTTTTCTTGTTATTGTTCAAAAGAAACTGCCAAACATATCTTATGCTAAAGCATGTAATTATGATTAAGTCATGGAAACAGAAAATGAATCCATAGCTTAGCTTATGGGACATAGGGAGATTATTGTTCAAACAAGTATAAAAAGACATACATATATAAAATATAAATATATATAGGTAATAGAATATGATTATAGACCTCTCTCAGACTGAGTTTTAGTGGAATTAACTCACTATTATTTCAAAGCTGAGTGAACTCTCACCTACTAAGCTTGCTTGTCTCTGCAACACCTTCTGCAAATGCTGTAATTCATTGAGATCTAACATAAGGATCAGAGTGAAATAAAAAGAGATATGCCAACACTCACAGGAAATTATCAGCAATGCTTTGATGATTAAATATTTAAATTAGGTATATTTCACACCATACATTTGATCTGCATTTCAATGAGTGTTCCCTTTCAAAAGGAGACAATTTTTCTAATAGCTACAAGATATATAGGTAGGTGAATGGTACTTACTGTCACTACACCTTCGCTTTTTGTATTTCCAACAGTTTCATTGCTGGATTTAAGTATGTCAGAATTCTCTTTCTCAATATTTATGTCCAGAATGCAAGATGAATAATCATCTTCACTATCCACTTTCAAATCGATGCAGTTCTGGCAACTCAATTGCGCATCCAAACACATCTGGTTTTTAGATGAAAAAGGAACTTCTAAAAGGCTCAAAAAAGTTAACTGTGGTGTGCATTTTGGGTTCGTGTTTCCTTCCTCAGGCAACACAGAAATGCTATAGACATCCTGGCCCTGCACAAAAGGAACTGATAAATAAACAGAAGTATAGAGAGATTAAACAGAGCAACTCAAATAACTCCCAAATTCTCATTTTGAAGTAATTTATTTTGAGGAACGAACGAAACATTTGAACCAACCTTTAAATAGAGATTATTGGGATCAGAAATATTGTTTAGAAAGAATCAAATCTAGAAATTACAAAAATAGAAGCCAAAAACTAAATGTAAGAAAAAAAGAGGAATCCAAACTTAAGCCTTAAATCTCACAGGATGAGACAGATTTGAACTGTTCAACACATGTTCCATCAAGAGGTTATCTCAATGGACTAGCAGCTGTGTACACTTTATCTGAGTTCCAGTTTACATGAATTTTCACTCCTAGAAATGAACTGATATGATTGAATAAAAACAGAGGAGGAAGAGAGAGGGTTTGAAGAGATCACGCTGATGCCTTAGAGATTGAGCATCAACTCAAAGCCAAAATGTAGGTTTTTTAAAGAGTATTTACCTTTAATTTTACTGGAGAAACTGATTCTCAAGCAGTACCAAATTTACTAAACAAGTCTTTTTAGTCTATCAATCAAAAGGTTACACAGCTAAGAACAGGTTATAAGAGTGTATTAGCAGATACTAGCATGTGACTGACATTTTTGCAGGTTTATGCCTGTCATTTGGGAGCAAATATAATATCAATAGCAGCTTGACTTTCCTTAACAACAATGCAGGCTGCTAAAGAAGGATGTGACTGGTTAAGTGTATATTAGATTATTCAATTGAGCAAGTCAATTTTAAGACATCCCTCTCAGACCATGCGGATACAATTGATTTTATTGGGGAGGAAAAAATGACTGCAGCAGATTCCTAATGGACTTACATGTGAAGTCTTTAAGCTGCATTTTTCTCTTGCTGGAAATGAAGTCTCCTCGATTAGAATAGGCAAGACATCTGAAAACTCAATTAAAGGAATTCATTAAACTATCGAACTGAGGAAATTGGATAATTCGGTATCTGACGCGAATATCGTTACCGAGAGAACAATGCTGGTGGGTCTCATCAAAGCTTGGTTTAATCAACTCAAAGCATGAGATGTTGACTGGTAAATTGGTGCTTCCTTCCACCATCCCTGGTAAAAATGCTTTTTCCTGGAAGTAAACGAAGCATGCAAAA